ACTCGTGTATTTATGCCGCTTTTAGACTCACTCTCATTTTTTTTTGCATTTTTTTTTTTTACTCGCTCAGTTATTGCTGCCATTTCACTCATTGTATTTACCGCTTTTAGACTCCTCTCATTTGCCGCTATTTTTTTTTACTCACGCTCAGTTATTGCTGCCATTTCACTCGTGTATTTATACCGCTTTTAGACTCACTCTCATTTGCCTCTATTTTTTTACTCACGCTCGGTTATTGCTGCCATTTTTCACTCCCGTGTATTTATGCCGCTTTTAGACTCACTCTCATTTTGCCGCTATTTTTTTACTCACGCATTTCACTCGTTATTGCTGCCATTTCACTCGTGTATTTATGCCCTTTTAGACTCACTCTCATTTGTCGCTTTTTTTACTCCGCTCGTTATTGCTGCCATTTCACTCGTGTATTTATGCCGCTTTTGGCTCACTCTCATTGCCGCTATTTTTACTCACGCTCAGTGTGCTGCCACGCTCATTTTATTGCTGCCACTCTTCATTTGCCGCTATTTTTTTTACTCACCGCGCAGACTCATGCCGCTTTTGAACTCATTTCATTTGCGCTATTTTTTTACTCACGCTCAGTTATTGCTGCATTTCACTCGTGTATTTATGCCGCTTTTAGACTCACTCTCATTTGCCGCTATTTTTTACTCACGCTCAGTTATTGCTGCCATTTTGCTCGTGTATTTATGCCGCTTTTAGACTCACTCTCATTTGTCGCTATTTTTTTACTCACGCTCAGTTATTGCTGTCATTTCCTCGTGTATTTATGCCGCTTTTAGACTCTCTCATTTGCCGCTATTTTTACTCACGCTCAGTTATTGCTGCCATTTCACTCCTCTCATTTGTATTTTTTACTACCGCTTTTCCATTTCACTCCTGTATTTTACCGCTTTTTAAACTCCTCTATTTGCTATTTTTTTACTCGCTCAGTTATTGCTGCCATTTCCTCGTGTATTTATGCCGCTTTTAGACTCACTCTCATTTGCCGCTATTTTTTTACTCACGCTCAGTTATTGCTGCCATTTCACTCATTAATATTTATGCCGCATATTTTTTTTTAGACTCACTCTCACTCCTCTCATTTGCCGCTATTTTTTTACTCACGCTCAGTTATTGCTGCCATTTTCACTCGTGTTATTGCCGCTATTTTTTTCTCAGACTCACTCTCATTTCACTCGCTATTTTTTACTCACGCTCATTGCCGCTATTTTTTGCTGCCATTTTCACTCGTGTATTTATGCCGCTTTTTAGACTCACTCTCATTTGCCGCTATTTTTTTTTTTACTCACGCTCAGTTATTGCTGCCATTTCACTCGTGTATTTGCCATTTCACTCGTGTTATGCCCGCTTTTAGACTCACTCTCATTTGCCGCTATTTTTTACTCACGCTCAGTTATTGCTGCCATTTCACTCGTGTATTTATGCCGCTTTTAGACTCACGCTCTCTCATTTGCCGCTATTTTTTACTCACTCTCAGTTATTGCTGCCATTTCATTTCGTGTATTTATACCGCTTTTAGACTCACCTCTCATTTGCCGCTATTTTTTACTCACGCTCAATTATTGCTGCCATTTCACTCGTGTATTTATGCCGCTTTTAGAACTCACTCTCATTTTTTGCCGCTATTTTTTCCTCATGCGCTCAGTTATTTGCTGCCATTTTTTTTTCACGCTCGGTGTTGTATTTATGTATTATTTTGCCGCGCAGACTCACTCTCATTTGCCGCTATTTTTTACTCACGCTCAGTTATTGCTGCCATTTCACTCGTGTATTTATGCCGCTTTTAGACTCTCTCTCATTTGCCGCTATTTTTTTACTCACGCTCAGTTATTGCTGCCATTTCACTCGTGTATTTATACCGCTTTTTAGACTCACTCTCATTTGCCGCTATTTTTTTACTCACGCTCAGTTATTGCTGCCATTTCACTCGTGTATTTATGCCGCTTTCTCAGACTCACTCTCATTTGCCGCTATTTTTTTACTCACGCTCATTTGCCGCTATTTTTTGCTGCCATTTGCCATTTCTCGTGTATTTATGCCGCTTTTTAGACTCACTCTCATATTTTTTGCCGCTATTTTTTTCACTCGTGTATTTATGCGCTTTTAGCTCAGTTATTGCCGCCATTTTTCACTCGTGTATTTATGCCGTATTTATGCCGCTGAACTCACTCTCATTTGCCGCTATTTTTTACTCACGCTCGGTGTGCTGCCATTTCTCGTGTATTTATGCCGCTTTTAGACTCACTCTCATTTTGCCGCTATTTTTTACTCACTCACTCTCACTTTACTCCTCTCATTGCTGCCACGCTTTTGCCATTTCACTCGTGTATTTATACCGCGCAGAGCTCACTCTCATTTGCCGCTATTTTTTTTTACTCACGCTCAGTTATTGCTGCCATTTCACTCGTGTATTTATGCCGCTTTTAGACTCTGCCATTTCATTTGCCGCTATTTTTTACTCGCTCAATTATTGCTGCCATTTTCACTCGTGTATTTATGCCGCTTTTAGACTCACTCTCATTTGCCGCTATTTTTTACTCACGCTCGGTTATTGCTGCCCATTTCACTCGTGTATTTATGCCGCTTTTAGACTCACTCATTTGCCGCTATTTTTTTACTCACGCTCAGTTATTTGCTGCCATTTCACTCGTGTATTTTTAGAACTCACTCTCTTTTGCCGCTATTTTTTTACTCACGCTCATTTGCTGCCATTTATTTTTTATGCCGCTTTTTTCACTCTCATTTGCCGCCATTTTTCACTCGTGTATTGCTACCATTTGCTCGCTTTTTAGACTCACTCTCATTTGCCGCTATTTTTTACTCACGCTCAGTTATTTGCTGCCATTTTCACTCGTGTATTTATGCCTTTTAAACTCACTCTCATTTGCCGCTATTTTTTACTCACGCTCAGTTATTGCTGCCATTTCACTCGTGTATTATACCCGCTTTTGAACTCCTCTCATTTGCCGCTATTTTTTTTTACTCACGCTCAGTTATTTACTGCCATTTCACTCGTGTATTTATACCGCTTAAACTCACTCTCATTTGCCGCTATTTTTTTCACTCACTCGTGTATTTATTTGCATTTGCCGCTATTTTTTCACTCTGTGTATTTATGCCGCTTTTAAGACTCACTCTCATTTGCCATATTTTTTACTCACGCTCGATTATTGCTGCCATTTCACTCGTGTATTATGCCACCGCTTTTAGACTCCTCTCATTTGCCTATTTTTTTACTCACGCTCAGTTATTGCTGCCCATTTCACTCGTGTATTTATGCCGCTTTTAGACTCACTCTCTCATTTGCCGCTATTTTTTTTACTCATTGCTGCCGCTCGTGTATTTATGCCATTTCACTCGTATTTTTTACTGCTCGGTGTTACTGCCATTTTCACTCTCATTGCGCTATTTTTTTTTACTCACGCTCATTTATTGCTGCCATTTCACTCGTGTATTTATGCCGCTTTTGGAGCTCACTCTCATTTTGCCGCTATTTTTTCTCACGCTCAGTTATTGCTGCCATTTCACTCGTGTATTTATGCCGCTTTTAGACTCTCTCATTTTGCCGCTATTTTTTTTTTACTCACGCTCAGTTATTGCTGCCATTTCACTCGTGTATTTATGCCGCTTTTAGACTCACTCTCATTTGCCGCTATTTTTTTTACTCACGCTCAGTTATTGCTGCCATTTCACTCGTGTATTTATGCCGCTTTTAGACTCACTCTCATTTGCCGCTATTTTTTTACTCACGCTCACTCTCATTTGCCGCCATTTCTTACTCGTGTATTTTGCACTGACTCACTCTCATTTTGCCCTTTTTTACCTCACGCTCATTTTGCCATTTCATTTTTTGCACAGACCACGCTCATTTTGCCGCTATTTTTTACTCACGCTCGGTTGCTGCCATTTCACTCGTGTGTTTTATGCCGCTTGCAGAACTCACTTTCTCATTTGCCGCTATTTTTTTTTACTCACGCTCGGTGTGCTGCCATTTCACTCGTGTATTTATGCCGCTTTTGAACTCCTCTCATTTTGCCATATTTTTACTCACTCGGTATTGCTGCCATTTTGCCGCTATTTTTTACTCATTTGCCGCTATTTTTACCCACGCTTATTGCTTGCCATTTCACTCGTGTATTTATGCCGCTTTTGGAGCTTTCTCTCATTTGCCGCTATTTTTTACTCACGCTCAATTATTGCTGCCATTTCACTCGTGTATTTATGCCGCTTTTTGAACTCACTCTCATTTTGCCGCTATTTTTTTACTCACGCGCTCAGTATTGCTGCCATTTCACTCGTGTATTTATGCCTTTTAGACTCACTCTCATTTGCCGCTATTTTTTACTCACGCTCAATTATTGCTGCCATTTCACTCGTGTATTTATGCCGCTTTTAGACTCACTCTCATTTTACCCTATTTTTTTTTACTCACGCTCAGTTATTGCTGCCATTTCACTCGTGTATTTATGCGCTTTTAGACTCATTTGCCTTTATTTTTTCTCATTTGCCGCATTTACTCGTGTGTTTTTTTACTCACTCTCATTTGCCTCAGTGTGCTGCCATTTCACTCGTGTATTTATGCCGCTTACCAGACTCACGCTCATTTGCCATATTTTTTTACTCACGCTCAGTGTGCTGCCATTTCACTCGTGTATTTATTACCGCTTTTGAACTCACACGCTCATTTACCGCCTTCTTTTTTACTCACGCTTTCAGTATTGCTGCCATTTCACTCGTGTATTTATACGCTTTTGAAACTCTCTCATTGCCACTTTATTTTTTTACTCACGCTCAGTGTGCTGCCATTTCCTCGTGTATTTATGCCGCTTGCAGACTCTCACTCTCATTTGCACTATTTTTTACTCACGCTCGGTATTGCTGCCATTTCACTCGTGTATTTATGCCGCTTTTAGACTTACTCTCATTGCCGCTGTTTTTTTACTCACGCTCCGTTATTGCTGCCATTTCATATTGTATTTATGCCGCTTTTAGACTCACTCTCATTTGCCGCTTTATTTTTTTACTCACGCTCGGTGTGCCATTTCACTCGTGTATTTATGCCGCTTTTAGACTCACTCTCATTTGCCGCTATTTTTTACTCACGCTCAGTTATTGCTGCCATTTCACTCGTGTTATACCCTTTTTCCTCTCATTGCCACTATTTTTTACTCACGCTCATTGCTGCCATTTTTCACTCGTGTGTTATACCGCGCAGAGCTCACTCTCATTTGCCGCTATTTTTTTTTACTCGCTGTATTGCTGCCATTTCACCGTATTATTTATGCCGCTTGCAGACTCACTCTCATTTGCCGCTATTTTTTACTCACGCCATTTCCACTCGTGTATTGCTGCCATTTTTCACTCGTGTATTTATGCCGCTTTTAAACTCACTCTCATTTGCCGCTATTTTTTTTTACTCACGCTCAATTGTATTGCTGCCCATTTCACTCTCTCGTGTATTTATGCCGCTTTTAGACTCACTCATTTGCCGCTATTTTTTACTCACGCTCGATTATTGCTGCCATTTCACTCGTGTATTTATGCCGCTTTTAGACTCCTCTCATTTGCCGCTATTTTTTTACTCACGCTCAGTTATTGCTGCCATTTCACTCGTGTATTTATGCCGCTTTTTAGACTCACTCTCATTTGCCGCTATTTTTTACTCACGCTCAGTTATTTGCTGCCATTTTCACTCGTGTATTTATGCCGCTTTTAAACTCACTCTCATTTGCCGCTATTTTTTTACTCACGCTCAATTATTGCCATTTCACTCGTGTATTATACCCGCTTTTGACTCCTCTCATTTGCCCTATTTTTTTTTACTCACGCTCGGTTATTTACTGCCATTTTCACTCGTGTGTTATGCCGCTTAGACTCACTCTCATTTGCCGCTATTTTTTTACTCACTCATTTATTTGCTGCCATTTCACTCGTGTATTTATGCCGCTTTTGAACTCACTCTCATTTGCCATATTTTTTACTCACGCTCGATTATTGCTGCCATTTCACTCGTGTATTATGCCGCTTTTAGACTCTCTCATTTTGCCGCTATTTTTTTTTTACTCACGCTCAGTTATTGCTGCCATTTCACTCGTGTATTTATGCCGCTTTTAGACTCACTCTCTCATTTGCCGCTATTTTTTACTCACGCTCAGTTATTGCTGCCATTTCACTCATTATGCGCTGGAGCTCACTCTCATTGCGCTATTTTTTTACTCACGCTCTCATTTGCCATTTCACTCGTGTATTTATTTTTAGCTCACTCTCATTTTGCCGCTATTTTTTCTCACGCTCAGTGCCTGCCATTTCACTCGTGTATTTATGCCGCTTTTAGACTCACTCTCATTTTGCCGCTATTTTTTTACTCACGCTCAGTTATTGCTGCCATTTCACTCGTGTATTTATGCCCCGCACTAGACTCACTCTCATTTTGCCGCTATTTTTTTACCTCACGCTCAGTTATTGCTGCCATTTCACTCGTGTATTTATGCCGCACAGACTCACTCTCATTTTGCCGCTATTTTTTTACTCACGCTCAGTTATTTGTGCCATTTCACTCGTGTGTTATCATTTTGCCGCTATTTTTTCCACGCTCAGTTATTGCTGCCATTTCACTCGATGTATTTTATGCCGCTCATTTGCCGCCTATTTTTTTTTACTCACGCTCGGTGTGCCCATTTCACTCGTGTATTTATCACGAACTCACTCTCTCATTGCCGCTATTTTTTACTGCTGCCATTTCACTCGTGTATTTATGCCGCTTTTGGAACTCCTCTCATTTTGCCGCTATTTTTTACTCACGCTCGTTATTGCTGCCATTTCACTCGTGTATTTATGCCGCTTTTTACTCACTCTCATTTTGCCGCTATTTTTTTACTCACGCTCAGTTATTGCTGCCATTTCACTCGTGTATTTATGCCGACTCACTCTCATTTTTAACTCACGCTCAGTTATTGCCATTTCACTCGTGTATTTATGCCGCTTTTGACTCCTTTATTTTTTTTTACTCACGCTCATTGCTGCCATTTCACTCGTGTATTTATGCGCTTTTAGACTCACTCTCATTTGCCGCCATTTCACTCGTGTATTTATGCCGCTTTTGAACTCACGCTCATTTGCCGCTATTTTTACTCACGCGCTCAGTGTGCTGCCATTTCACTCATTGATTTATGCCGCTTTTAGACTCACTCTCATTTGCCGCTATTTTTTACTCACGCTCAATTATTGCTGCCATTTCACTCGTGTATTTATGCCGCTTTTGAACTCACTCTCATTTTACCCGCTATTTTTTACTCACACTCAGTTATTGCTGCCATTTCACTCGATATGTTATGCCGCTTTTAGACTCGCACTCTCATTTGCCTTTATTTTTTACTCACACGCTCGGTATTGCTGCCATTTCACTCGTGTATTTATGCCGCTTTTAGACTCTCTCATTTGCCGCTATTTTTTTACTCACGCTCAATTGTTTGCTGCCCTTCACTCGTGTATTTATGCCTTTTAGACTCACTCTCATTTTGCGCTGTTTTTTACTCACGCTCGATTATTGCTGCCATTTCACTCGTGTGTTGTGCTTTTTAGACTCCTCTCATTGCCGCGCTATTTTTTTACTCACGCTCAGTTATTTGCTGCCATTTCACTCGTGTATTTATGCCGCTTTTAGACTCCTCATTTGCCGCTATTTTTTACTCACGCTCAGTTATTGCTGCCATTTTCACTCGTGTATTTATGCCGCTTTTAGACTCACTCTCATTGCCGCTATTTTTTTTACTCACGCTCAGTTATTGCGCCATTTCACTTTATTATTTATGCCGCTTTCACTCTCATTTTGCCGCTATTTTTTACTCACGCTCGATTATTGCTGCCATTTTTCACTCGTTATTTATGCCGCTTTTAAGCTTCACTCTCATTTGCCGCTATTTTTTTACTCACGCTCAGTTATTGCTGCCCATTTCACTCGTGTATTTATGCCCGCTTTTAGACTCACTCTCATTGCCGCTATTTTTTACTCACGCTCGGTTATTGCTGCCATTTCACTCGTGTATTTATGCCGCTTTTAGACTCACTCTCATTTGCCATATTTTTTACTCACGCTCAGTTATGTTAATTTCACTCGACGTGTATTTATGCCGCGCAGACTCACTCATTTGCCGCTATTTTTTTCACGCTCAGTTATTGCTGCCATTTCCTCGTGTATTTATACCGCTTTTAGACTCACTCTCATTTACCGCTATTTTTTACTCACGCTCAGTTATTGCTGCCATTTTCACTCGTGTATTTATGCCGCTTTTAGACTCACTCTCATTTGCCGCTATTTTTTTACTCACGCTCGTTATTGCTGCCATTTCACTCGTGTATTTATGCCGCTTTTGAGACTCACTCTCATTTGCCGCTATTTTTTTTTTTCCACGCTCAGTTATTGCTGCCATTTCACTCGTGTATTTATACCGCTTTTAGACTTCCTCTCATTTGCCGCTATTTTTTTACTCCCCGCTCGATTATTGCTGCCATTTTCCTCGTGTATTTATACCGCACCCAGACTCACTCTCATTTACCGCTATTTTTTACTCACGCTCAGTTATTGCTGCCATTTTCACTCGTGTATTTATGCCGCTTTTAGACTCACTCTCATTGCCGCTATTTTTTTTACTCACGCTTTCCAGTTATTGCTGCCATTTCACTCGTGTATTTATGCCGCTTTTAGACTCCTCTCATTTGCCGCTATTTTTTGCTGCCATTTCACTCATGTATTTATACCGCTTTTAGACTCTCTCATTTGCGCTATTTTTTACTCACTCAGTTATTGCTGCCATTTTCACTCGATATTTATGCCGCTTTTAGACTCACTCTCTCATTTGCCGCTATTTTTTTACTCACGCTCAGTTATTGCTGCCATTTCACTCGTGTATTTATGCCGCTTTTAGACTCACGCTCATTTTGCCGCTATTTTTTTACTCACGCTCGGCGTTATTGCTGCCATTTTCACTCGTGTATTTATGCCGCTTTTAGACTCACTCTCATTTGCCGCTATTTTTTTACTCACGCTCGATTATTGCTGCCATTTCACTCGTGTATTTATGCCGCTTTTAGACTCACTCTCATTTGCCGCTATTTTTTTTACTCTCACGCTCAGTTATTGCTGCCATTTCACTCGTGTATTTATGCCGCTTTTAGACTCACTCTCATTTGCCGCTATTTTTTTACTCACGCTCACCATTATTATTTATGCCGCTTTTAGACTACTCTCATTTGCCGCTATTTTTTTACTCACGCTCAGTTATTGCCTGTTTCACTCGTGTATTTATGCCTTTTAGACTCCTCTCATTGCCGCTATTTTTTTACTCACGCTCGATTATTGCTGCCATTTTCACTCGTGTATTTATGCCGCTTTTAGACTCCTCTCATTTTGCCGCTATTTTTTTACTCTCCGCTCGGTTATTGCTGCCATTCCTCGTGTATTTATGCCGCTTTTAGACTCACTCTCATTTTGCCGCTATTTTTTTTACTCACGCTCTCAGTTATTGCTGCCATTTTCACTCGTATTTATGCCGCTTTTAGACTCACGCTCATTTTGCCGCTATTTTTTTTTTACTCACGCTCAGATTATTGCCATTTCACTCATGTATTTTGCCACCTTTTAGAACTCCTCTCATTTGCCGCTATTTTTTTTAATCACACGCTCAGTTATTGCTGCCATTTTTCCTCAATGTATTTATGCCGCGCAGACTCACTCTCATTTGCCTCTATTTTTTTTACTCATCAGTTATTGCTGCCATTTCACTCGTGTATTTATGCCGCTTTTAGACTCACTCTCATTTGCCGCTATTTTTTTACTCACGCTCAGTTATTGCTGCCATTTCACTCGTGTATTTATGCCGCTTTTAGACTCACTCTCATTTGCCGCTATTTTTTACTCACGCTCAGTTATTGCTGCCATTTCACTCGTGTATTTATGCCGCTTTTAGACTCACTCTCATTTGCCGCTATTTTTTTACTCACGCTCAGTTATTGCTGCCATTTCACTCGTGTATTTATGCCGCTTTTAGACTCACTCTCATTTGCCGCTATTTTTTACTCACGCTCAGTTATTGCTGCCATTTCACTCGTGTATTTATGCCGCTTTTAGACTCACTCTCATTTGCCGCTATTTTTTACTCACGCTCAGTTATTGCTGCCATTTCACTCGTGTATTTATGCCGCTTTTAGACTCACTCTCATTTTGCCCGCATTTATATTTTTTTTACTCACGCTCAGTTATTGCTGCCATTTCACTATTTTTTGTATTTATTGCCGCTTTTAGACTCAGTTCTCTCATTTGCCTCTATTTTTTTACTCACGCTCAGTTATTGCTGCCATTTCACTCGTGTATTTATGCCGCTTTTAAACTAACTCTCATTTTGCCGCTATTTTTTACTCACGCTCATTATTGCTGCCATTTCACTCGTGTATTTTATGCCGCTTTTTAGACTCACTCTCATTTTGTCGCTTTTTTTTTACTCACGCTCAGTTATTGCGCCATTTCACTCGTGTATTTTACCCGCTTTTTAGGCTCCTCTCATTTGCCGCTATTATTTTTTTTTTACTCACGCTCAGTTATTGCTGCCATTTCACTCGTGTATTTATGCCGCTTTTAGACTCACGCTCATTTTGCCGCTATTTTTACTCACGCTCAGTTATTGCTGCCATTTCCTCGTGTATTTATGCCGCTTTTAGACTCACTCTCATTTGCCGCTATTTTTTACTCACGCTCCAGTTATTTGCTGCCCATTTCACTCGTGTATTTATGCCGTATTTTTTAGACTCACGCTCATTTGTCGCTATTTTTTACTCACGCTCAGTTATTGCTGCCATTTCACTCGTGTATTTATGCCGC